AAGGCTTATCTAAAAAGTGACTTATTTAATAAATGGGTTCAGGACACTGAAAATTTGGTTCAGAAAATGGAAATTTGTCTTTCCGCAGATGAGAGAAATAGTTTTTAAAAATCTTTATCACTTGAACAAACCTGAGCAGTTTTGCCTTTTAACCCCAGTTATCGATGTGGAGGATGGTCATGTTTATTTTGATGTGGTTTAAAAAATGTGCTTTAAGAAAATCCAGTCAAACCGTGGCATGGCACTTTAAATATTTCCGGCGTACATTGTCTGGATTTCTAAAATAAAGCAAACTATATTGGAGAGGAATTTTGCCACATTTGTCATTTTGATGCATGCTGCAGTCCAGAAGTACTTTGACCTAAAACCTCAGAAAATACGAGTGGCTTTTTACTCTCCGTCTGTCACATTTGCTTCCTCCTGATGAGAGATCTGATGATCTGAGAGGCAGGAAACAGATGTGTGATTTACAGCCAATTAATTTTGTTCTCTGCTGCATTTTATGTCTCTGTTGTACTTCACACTCGTTCTCACTCTGTCTGACACACACAATACCACGCGCACCTACACCACACTGTCAGCTGGCTGCTTTGTGAAGCACTGCATTTCTGTTGTTGGGGTGATAGAAAACTCCCTTATCGTGCTCTCAGAAAGATAAACATGCCCTGCTGAATCTTTCACTTCTTCTTTTCCCTGTCTGTTTGCTGAGGAAGAGCTGCAAAGATTTCCATTATTCTCCAAACTAAAGTACAAGCAATCTGGTTCAATCTTGTTCCCTCCCTGCTTGCCGAACCGCTCCAACCTCCTGACAGTCTGCCGTCAGCTGCTGTGATTTTTCACGCTAGAAGAAAATTACCAGGAGCTAAACTCTGAGATTTCCCAAGAAAAGTGGAACCAAAAAAAAGGTTGAGAGCACAGTGATGGCAAGACAGGAATAATGAGGGAGATAGAGAGGTATACACCCCGCTAATTAGCTGGGGTCTTTACAAGTTCAAGGACAGTTTCAATTTAACTGATAAAGATGAGAGGATGAGGATGGCAGGGAAGGGTGAGGTTGGTTGAGGCTTTCTACATCTTAATTATCTAGTGGTGGTGGTGGTGGTGGGGGGGCACGTGTTGAGGAATCTGGGGAAAGGAGGGAGGGCACAGATTGAGTTCAGGATGAGGAAAGACGTTGAAGGGCTTCTACGGAAAACCCAGACGTCTTATCCGAGGTTGAGTTCAGCTGGGGGTCGGCCCCAAGCTTCCTGGGGTCAACAATTTCCCTTTCAATTACTTCGCCACTTGCGCAAGGATTCTCAGCCCAGGAGGATCATGGATAACCCGGGGGTTAAACACACATGCATTACTTAATTCAAACACGCATACAAATTGGCTTCACTCAAGCTTGTGATACTCAGGAATGATCAGTCCTGAGTTTCTGTGACATCGTGATGACGATTCAAACGTATCAACTTTACCTCTGATGTAACAGCTCATGGGAAGAGTTTCTATTCTCTTGGTGAAGGAGGAAGTCATTGTTTGAGTAGTTATTTAGAAGCGTTACCTGAGTGAACATTAATGTCAGTGGTCACCATGTAACAAAACACTTTCAAAGTTCGCAACAAAATAAAGATTTAAAAAGCTTTCTCTCCTGGAATTATACAAATATTTCTCACATAGTTTAGTTAAAATTCTTTGATAGTCACATTGTATGCAAAAGGTTTCACAGGTTAGGGTCAAGATAACAAATGACAAGTAAATACTTCCTGTTGATGCTGACGTGGCACAAAGATTAAAAAGTATATATTTGTTAGCAAAACAAAGAAGCTTGCAATAGCTGCTGAGTTTGACAGCTACACTCAAAATTTGTTTCAAAGTGTCGTGTGCAATTACAGTGTGAACTGGTATGATTTTTACCCAGGAAGTAGTGTAGGAAATATGGGTGCCAGTTGGTCAACATATAGTCAGGGCCGTAAGCAAATGGACAATCACATTTTGTTGTTGTTTTGTTTTTTTATTGCTTCTGTACAGATTGAGTGGATTTTAAACTGTATAGTATGTCAATAACTGTTTTGGAAATACATAGTGTCACATTTTCAGAGACACAAAAGTAAGTGGAAAAACTGACATCACAACTTAAAGGATTGTTTTGAGTAATGACTGCTTGAAGTGTTGAACCATGGACACCAAACGCTGTGTATCCTCCCTTGAGATGCTTTGCCAGGCCTTAACTGCAGCCACCTTTGGCTGCAGCTTGTTTGTGGGTCTCTCTCCCTTCTGTTTTCTCTTCAGTAAACTAAAAAGCATGCCTCGTTGGGTTCAGTTCAGGTGACCGACTTGGCCATTGAAGAATCTCCTTTCTCTTTGCCTTGAGAAACTCTTGGGTTGCTTTTGGAGTACGCTTTCGATTATTATCTATTTGTACTGTGACGTGCTGTCCATTCAGGGTTGCATTTTTCAGTATTCATCTGAATAAGAGCAGAGAGCACAGCCCTGTACACTTCAAAATGTATCATACCATTAGCAGTCACACCATCACTGAACGCTAGTGACCTGGTTCTGTTATAATGACAGTGGCTCTGTAATAATGTGTAATTGTGCATTTGGTGGGATAAAGTGGGTCCACTTGTCTCTGCAGAGGGTATGGTCACTGCAGTCAGCCATGGAGGGGAGTTTTCTCCATTCTTCCATCATGGCAAGGGTAGACTGTGGGCCACATCTCAACCTAAAAAACAAGAAAGACATATGGGAGGTTTTGGACGTACATGTTAGAAAGAGCTGTACAACATCTTCATCAAAGCTGCAACATCCATCCATCCATTCTCTGCCGCTTATCCTTTTCAGGGTCGTGGGGGGGCTGGAGCCAATCCCAGCTGTCTTGGGGTGAGAAAAGCTGCAAAATATCTTTTGCAAATGTGGTGTTCATTTGTTAAGTAATGTTCCATAAAGCAGTATGTCAGCAGTAGTGTCTACTGCTGACATACTGCTTTATGGCACCAATTGTTCCTTTAGTTTAGAAGATCGTTTTCTGTCTTTGATATTGTTTGTGTTTTTCAATGGTAGTTATTAAGAATTTCTATGCCATGGGGAGTTTACATAGTTAATCATCAGTTTGAATAGTGGTAAATGGCAGATCTCACATAAAAGTTACAATTAAATTGATTTCTTATTTATAAAATTACCCATTTCATTCCATACAAATCACCCTTGTGAACAATTCACCCTTTATAAGGACCTCTATTTGCTTTATGTAACATGCAAAAATATTTTTTCAACAAAAGCATGAAAAAGGAAGAAAGCTGCTCTCAAATTCACATGCCCCTACAGTTCTGGTTATTTGCATGAAGTTTTGACATCTCACAATTGAGTCTCCATGTTACCATGAATAAACCAGTTGACAGAATATCCCCACTTCCTCAATGAAAGTCTGGGGATGCTTTTATTTCTATTAGAGGAGCCGAGAAGGATGATATGTACCCTCTCTCATCTTCGTGTATGATGTTTCTGAGCAAGTGGATTTGCACATACAGAGAAAACTATAAGTAGGAAGAATATATAAAGTCCTTCTATACAGCAGTTTACTCAGTCTAGACTAGATTGTAGTAGGTGCTTACATGTAAATTGAACTTCACATGTGTTTATCTTAAATAACTTTTCCATGATATGATAACATTTATTTCATGCAATTAATACAGTTCACATATAATGCAATAATCTTTGACATGTCACAAACTGGGCCATCAGTGGAACCCAATTGTATTCACCATCTTGGAACCATAAACGTCAGTCGGAGGCTATTTTAGATTTGTGAGATAGTCATGTCCGGATCAGTCATTGTGTCACAGAAAGACTGAAACTGCCATAGTCGTTTTTCTATCATGATTTGAACTTTTTTTGTACCCAAAGAGCAGACTGTGACTACAACTGAGAGTTTTATAATGTTTACTTACAAATGAAGAGAGTTCAGTGACAGGCAGTAGGGAGTACTGGGGCAGTATCTGTAGAAAAGGAGAAAGAGAGTATTAGATAAAGTTGGTCTCAGTCAGAGAATTGCCAAAATAAAGTGAGTGGACAAGTTGCTGTCTTACTTGTTAGTGCAGGAGAACAGTCCTTGGAACAGGGTTCTGGGAAGATCCAAGGTGAGCAGCAGAGTGTCGATGGTGAGTCAGTGGGCAGGTGAATGGCAGGAATCCACAGAGAGTATCTGTGAGACCGACAAAAGCTTGTGATTGGCTGTGAACTCTCGACTCCTTGAGGCTGATTTTCCAATGAATATGGATCAGACTTCAGGCAAGGAAATAGAAGACAGATAAAAATACTGAGTGGACATAATGAACTGGCAGACAACGACTGCCACAGTTGGCCCTTAAATACACAGCACAATGAGTTGATGCTCAACAGGTGTGAAAGTGCAAGCCTATGTTCCCTCCATGGAAACACAGGTTTGCACCTGGATATTCAGCTTTTAAGATCCAACAGAGTTAGAGTTGGGCTGCATTTTAGATACATGCTAAAATACAGAGACTAAATGGTGAACAGGCTGATCCATGTATAGCACTCTTCTACTCTCCTGGAGTACTCTATACAACATGCCACATATATCCAATCACACAAGCACTGTCTTTTAAGCTTCTTAGTGCTTCCTAATTCATTCATACACATTTAGACTCTTATTTGGGGTTAGTACCTTGCCTAAGGATACTTGGCATGCAGACTGGAGGAGCTAGGGATCGATCCAGCAACCTTCCAATCAGTAGATGACCTGCGCTACCTCCTGAGCTACAGCCACCTGTAAAATTAAAAATGTAGCTAAACGTTACATTGGTCTTACAGTCCTACTTTTTATAAGAGTTCCCTTTTGGTAAGGCAAAATTTAAAAATTCCATATTGGGGGTAAATGTAAATCTAACCCTAACTATGAACTTGTCGCTAGCTACAGGATGGATGTCCAGAGGTGACTATATTTTTTATTTAATTTTTATTTAACCTTTATTTAACCAGGAATGTCCCGTTGAGATCAAAAACCTCTTTTTCAAGGGAGTCCAGGCCAAGAGGCAGCACATTTCAAAACAAATACATACGAACAAACAAAGTTAAAATTACACAAAACAATTACACATTATTGAGGCAGTCTGTAGGCCTTTGAGTTTAGTTTTAAAAACATTTAAAGACAACAGTTCAGTCAGTTTCCAGTCTTTCTGTAACAGGTTCCACGAAAAAGGCGCAGAGTGGACAAAGGCTTTCTTACCCAGCTCTGTGGGGACAAGGGGAACAGACAGATCATTTGAACGCAAGGAGTAAGAACCACTATTTGTCCTTGTGAGCAAAGTACAAATATAAGGAGGCAGCAATCCAAGCATAGCTTTGTAAATAAAAGTGTACCAATGCCTTATATATGTGCTTTGGGTGTCTCTGTTCTCTTTAGCTGCTTATGAAGTATTGTAAAGTGTATTTTACCTGTACACTCATCATTATCATAAAGTCAGGTGAATTGGACTTTCACCCTACACTGAAATCTGATTCTAGACCCTCACATTGACTAATTTGACTAAAAATGTGGGATTTGACAGTTATGTGTCAACCAGCTATACAGTTTCAGGCATATCTGCATGTGAAATGAAATGCAAATGGATGCTAATTAAAATGCCTCGTTTACATTTGTTGTGCTTGTGAATACAAAAATAGTCTGAGCGGTATGTTTAGTAAGGCAGAGGCCTCTTCTTGGAAAGATGCAGAACAGTGCCCAATGATGCATTTAAATACATGATTTTGAACTTAATATTCTTGTTTATTGTACTTCATAAAATCTGAACATTTTCTGGGTATCTGTAGATAGACGAATTTAGGAGTTCAGCTGACAGGTACTGTATATCTGCCACCTCCATACAGGAAAGGAGTGAAAGGGGCTTCCTGTGATTGACTTTCTATCTAAGGCTGAATGTAGATGCAAGGAAGTGTAACACACATAAGCACTTTTGGAAATACCAAAGCATTGCACTTACTATTCCTCCTGTAATGCTATAATTACCCACCAACGGTATTCAGTAAACAGTGTAAATCAGATCACATGCATGTACATGAGGCGGATTACATTAAAGGAAATGCTCCCCATCGGAATTCCGTAAAGTGAATTCCAACAATGCTGAAATGTAGATCTTGTGATTGCATGTGTATATCGTGCACCAGCACGATCAGGTGGAATGAATCAGCATATTTAAGATCTTTAAGTTTAACAGATTAAAAACAAGAAAAAAGATGCTTTTCGGAGAAAAAGAATGTGAAGGTCAGGTTTTTTCTGACTGGCAAACATTTGTCACTCCAACACACGCACAAGATAATGAGGTTTGAAATCACCACCAATCATCTGGAAACTGAGACCTTGCTCTTCACATTCTCTGAGATTCATATACAGCACATGACGCATCTGCTGCTTGACTGCCGCCTCTGTGACGGCACTCGCCTCATGTTTTATTTGATGTCAAAACTAATGATCACAAAAGAATGCATGATCATATAGAAAATAGAAACTATGAATCTGAGAAATGCAGGAACGTCTGACTAACCTGAGAATGTTTGCTTCTCTGTCGTGCTCTCTCTTTCCACAGTGGGATGCCATTAATGAGATGGACGAGTACTTCAGTCCTATCCACACATACCAGGTGTGTAATGTTCGTATTGTACTGTGGGGCTGAGTGTGTTAGGATTAACTGTTATAAGACCTTTACCTTGATCCTGGGGAAACTGGGATTTTTCCATCTAAATTAAGTTTGATTTTAAAACACAAACTGTGAATTAATTAATCATAAATCAGTTCTTTATTTTATTAGGTTATATAGATGGTGCACTACTAATAGTGCAAAAATTACAATTCCTCATTATGTACCAAAGTTGAAAATTTTTTACTTATCTGTAAGTTTTCAGTCTGCACCTGAATGATTTTGACAGATGGAACTTTGACATGTATTTGTCTTCGTTCATCGTCTTTAACTCACAAAAACATCCAATGAAATCCTAGGAAAGTATATCAGTAGGGCACTTTATTGTTTATAAAACAGTTCCCATAGATAAAGCTATTATACTCGAACAATAAGAGAAATCAGCTTATACAATCATTTATTCGACAAAGATATTGATAGAATTATTTTTTTCTGAGTTGACTTCTATATACTGGCTAAATCTGAGCAATCCCATCATGACTGCAGGAACAGCCACTTTGAGCCAAACTGTTGCAGCCGTAACTGTAGATGCCGAGATGTTTTACATCAAAAGGACTGGTGTTAAGTGACCAGTCCTGGACTTCTAGATGTTGTTAAATAATATTTTAAATAATATAGGGACTATTTTTTGTTTTTTTGTTTGTTTTTCTCCATCGTTCAACTCGCATCACAGTTTTTTTCTGAAAGTCTTACCTGAATGGTGTAATGGGGCCAGACGGACGTGGTCCCAGCTAATGAAATTAATTCAAATTGAGAAAAGAATAACGAAATGCAAATATATGTGCGACATTTGTGTAGTTTATAAACACTTTACTTTAGAGTTTACTTATTAAAATGAAAAATTTCAACAATTTGCTTACTTAAATACTAATTATTTGCTCTTAAATATTAATTAACATTAACAAATTAAATTAGAAAATTGCCTGCCAGAGCTAGCAATAAAAATAATCATTTTTTATTCCCCATTTAAAATTCTTATGTGGAAATATTCTTATTTATTTATTTATTTTATTCTAAACTAATGTTAAGGCAAATGACTTTTATGTACATGTTCCAAATAGAAGCTGTGAAATGACAACAGATCTTCCTCTGAATTAGGTCTGTAACGTGATGAGCCCGAGCCAGAACAATTGGCTGGTGACAGGCTGGATCCCTCGGGAAGGAGCCAGGAGGATCTACATCGAGGTCAAGTTCACCCTGAGAGACTGTAACAGCATGCCTGGAGTACTGGGCACCTGCAAGGTAACAGACAGACTGGAAGGAAAGGGGGGGAGGGTGTGGGTGGGTGAAGTCCAACATTTGTTGACTAAAGCTGGCAAAGAAAATGCACACAGAGTAACTTGTGTTCACTGTATTGAGTATGCTCATTATTCTGAGTATTATGTCAACTCAGAGTAATGGTATCAAACATTTGCCATCTGGTGGTCTGTCTTATGTGCTAAAATTAAAGCATTTTTCATCACAACACTAATTATGACCATCCAAAACCTGAGAAAATGAGAACCAGCTGCAGCTCTGAGGCTGTGTTGTTACTTCATTGAATGACCTAAATATAGACTTATGAAAGCTTTGCCATAGCTAGGAAGCTAACCAGAAGTAACAATGGGACTATTGTGAAGTTTACTCAAAATGATGCCAATAAAATAAACACTGATAGTCAAATTTTACTTATTAAATCTTTGTTATTTATCAACAAAAGTGCTCCAATGCTAGCAAGACTTGACAAACTTGTTTATGTACATGAGTCCTTAACTTGACTTTTGGACTGGTAATAGAACAAGATAAGAACAACATTTTTTGAATTACTGTGGTGGTGATAGCATCTTACATTGGGAGGGAAAATAACAAATTTTAGAGGAACTGAAAAGACTACATTATTTGTAGAAATTGTTTCCAAATGCCACCTTTGGGAGGGAAAATGACAGACTATGTGAACCTTACATCAGTATTTTGGCTTTTGCAAAGCATGGAGATATGGTTCCAACATACCTCTGATATTGTAATATGATGAACAAGTGTGCAGTACTTATGACACCATATTTGTTCTGCAGGAAACTTTCAACCTGTACTACTACGAGTCTGACAGAGCGGTGGGCTCAGCCATACGGGAGAACCAGTTCATTAAGATTGACACCATCGCTGCTGACGAGAGCTTCACAGGGGTGGACCTGGGAGTCAGACGACTCAAACTCAACACAGAGGTACGAGTAACTCAGCAATACTACAGGTGAATGTCAGTCCAGGCTTTCAAAGCAAAATCTCACGTTGGATTGTAAGTTAGCATGCACACCTCCACACAAGTTCAAAACAAGTTGGAAGCATCCACATCCACAGGAGAGCCTCTTCCAGTCACGTTACTCAAACTGTTTTGAGCTCGCGTCTAGCTGTGAGAGAAAACAAATAGCAGCACTTGGCTCAGTGTTTTCAGATGTGATTTGATATTGACAACAGCTTCAAATTTGATATAGGATAGTGGTACTACACTATTATTGATACCTAACTCTGTTGGAAGCAGAACAATCAGTATTAGGACATTTACTTAGTTATCAGCTAACGCTAGCAAGCTGGGTTAGCAAGCTTCATGAAACCATTGTATAAATGCAATACAGTGTACTAATTGTACTAATACAAACCGAATGTTACTCAGCAATACTGAAGCCTTTTCTGAGTCTCATAGAAGGCCATATAACAACCACATTAACACAGCTGAGAGAGCCAGTAGTGTGGTGTGACTTAGCCTCAAAATTAGCTATCAGAAGGAGCTTTAGCTATAAATTTTATATGACAGTGAAGCTTATAACAGGCCCAAATGTTTTTTTCTATCTGGGTGTAAACATGTCATTTTCATGACTGAGGTTAGGATTCACAACAGTGGAGAGTGTATGAGGTTCCACAGCAGGAACTGTAGTCTTTTTATATCTTAGATTTAGAAATTTAAAGCTGAATTTTTGCCTTGTTTCAGGTCATCTCACCATATCACCTTGCAAAGAAATATTTAATTAGAGTATTTAAATTCAGTTTCTTTTTTCATGTAGACATTAATTTTTGTTTTTACAAATATTATTGTGGCCAATAATATTGTTACTAGATCATTAAAAAAATTAATGAATTACATTATAATAATTATACTTAATGATATATACTTATTTTATTTATTTATTTATACAGCACATTTAATAACAACAGAGAGTTGACCAAAGTGCTGTACAAAGTAATAATTAAATAATGACATTAACATCAACAACAGGTAAGAAAATTCAAAGAAAATTAGGATAAAAATAATTAGTAACTCTCATGCACTATCGAAAGCCAAAGTGAAAAAATATGTTTTAAGATGGGATTTAAAAAGAGTGACAGTTGGAACCTTTCTAATGTGGAGAGGTAGATCATTCCACATTTTCGGCGCCACAACCGCCGAAGATGAACCATCCTAGACTTGTGTAAGGTGAGGAGTAAACGATAACTTGATCACTTAATGTGCATCTATGTTTAAGTGGGGAGGAGTAGCACACAGGAAATTTATAATTTTTGCCTCATGACAAATGCTGATCCATGATTGCACAGCATATGTTTAATTCTTACAAGAAAGCTACAGAAGCAGCCCCCTGATAACCTGGAAAGAGCAGCAAAACTCATAATTAGCTGACTAATTAGCAAACAGTGTTGATGCATCAGAAGCTTGATGAGTTTGTTTGATGGTGAAATGCATATTTAATTCATCAATTAGGTGTGCAAACAAAGCTACTGGTTGTGCAGCAGTGATGGTTTTTCAGCATTTAGACATGTCCCTTTTAAAGGTACAGTAAGTCAGTTTTGAGGTTGCCTAATAGAAAAAATGAAAAATGAGCTAATGCGTTCTCATGAATGTAGAATTAATCCATTAAAAATATTCAAGAGCGAGTGCAGGTTTGTGCCATGTTTCCCCGCCATATTGAATACAGTGGCTGAGATGGACATCGCCATCGCCAAACATGGCGCCATCCACCGTGTTTTATGTCTGTACCTAGAGACCAGCCACATATGTAGTATAGCTTATAATCAATAGCTCTTTCAGTTTATTAGACATGCAACCCTCCTGTCTCTGGACACCTGACAGTGAGCCAGCTAAACAACAACAGCTGGTTATAAGCTAACACTATGCCAGCCAATTAGGTGGCATAGCTGGGACCTAAAAATCTCACTTTCTCTATGATAAACAATGTGATTACATTCTTGCATTAGAATAAGAATTTGACTAAGTGTCCGAGTACACCAATGTTCTATCCATTTCCAGCAGTATTCCACTACAGAACTAACCTCAGCTAACGTCAGCTAACAGCGTTAGCTCGGTGGTGAGTACCCTTCAGTAATAGTAATAAATCACACAGCAATAATACATCGGAGATACTGAAGTGGCACATAACCCATATAGCTACCACAACTAAAACAAGGTACCGTACTTTCTGGACCATAAGCCGCTACTTTTTCCCTAGGTTTTGAGCCATGAGGCTTATACAAAGGTGCGGCTATTCTGTGGATTTTTCTTCCACCACTAGGGGGACTCTAACCAGAATTAGAATAAAAAACAAGATAGATGGAAAATCAATGCAAAGAAGAATACACTACTTTTTCTTTAGCAGATAGAACACGCACAACAAATTACCAACTGGTAATTATTTTCAAATCCTCGCCCCTTCATCATGGAAACCACACTAAGAAGTTCGTGTGATGCAAGTTTTAAGTTGAAGGCCATCGATCTTGCTATCCAGGAGGGAAACCGCGCTGCTGCACGCAAGCTTAGCGTCAATGAGTCTATGGTGAGACGTTGGAGGCGGCAGCGGGAAGAGCTCATGCAATGCCAAAAGTCGAGAAAAGCTTTCAGAGGACATAAAAGCAGGTGGCCTGAACTTGAAAATGTCCTGGAGGAATGGGTGAACACACTGAGAGCAGGTGGCCGAGGTGTATCCACTGTACAGATCCGACTGAAAGCCAAAACAATCGCCCGCGAAATGAATATTAAAGATTTCAAAGGTGGGCCGTCATGGTGTTTCAGATTTATGAAACGTAAAAACCTGTCCGTCAGGGCACGGACCACTCTCTGTCAGCAACTCCCCCCTGACTATCAGGAAAAAGTTGAAAACTTCCACAAATTTGTTGAAAAAAAGATACAAGAAAACTCCATCGGACCAGACGCCATAATCAATATGGATGAAGTACCTTTAACATTTGATCTGCCTCTGACCAGGACCGTTAACAAGACAGGTGCATCATCCGTGTTGTTGAAAAAACAACAGGCCATGAGAGGACGCACTTCACCTGCATTCTGGCATGCACGGCATCCGGACAAAAACTTCCACCAATGGTGATTTTTAAGCGCATAACTATGCCGAAAGAACAACTCCTGAAAGGCATAGTGGTCAAAGTTAACACCAAAGGGTGGATGATAGAAGGTCTAATGAAGGAATGGTTAACGGAGTGCTATGGGAAGCGCCCGGGAGGATTTTTTCACCGGAAAAAAGCACTGCTTGTTTTGGATAGCATGAGGGCCCACATCACAGATTCTGTGAAAGCAGCGATCAAGAAAACAAACTCCATTCCAGCTGTGATTCCTGGAGGTACAACAAAGTTTTTGCAGCCACTTGACATCAGTGTAAATCGGGCATTTAAAGCTGCACTACGGGTTGAGTGGGAGACTTGGATGACAAGCGGTGAAAAGTCATTCACAAAAACTGGCCGCATGCGAAAAGCATCCTTTTCTGATGTCTGTCAGTGGATCCTAACAGCGTGGAGTGCTGTGAAAGAATCCACCATCACCAATGGGTTCCGAAAGGCTGGACTGCTGCGCGAAGAAAGCGGCGCACCTTCAGAGCCAACTTCACCGGAGGATGACAGTGACACGGAGAGCGAGACTGATGGAGACAGATGTGATGAAGCGCTTCTGAGCCTGTTCAACTCCGACACTGAAGAAGACGACATGGGTTTCAGCGAAGATGATTAAAGTGACATGTGGTTTCAAATACAGGAAAAATGGAGGTAAATAAATAGCGGTTATTTTCTCTTGGTTCTGTTACGTTTTAATCAGCAAAGTTGCTGCCGTGTTAAGGCATTGTTCGGAAAGAATCTGTTCAGGTACATACTTGTACATTTGCACTACAAGATTGTTCTGTACATGCAGTAAATATCTATTTTTTCATCATAGATATCTGCGGCTTATAGCTGGGTGCGGCTTGTATATCTTTTTTTTTTTTAAATTTTTAAAAATAGAGCGGATGCGGCTTATATACAGGTGCGCTCTATTGTCCAGAAAGTACGGTACTTGCAGTAGGCTAATGTTAGTTTTTAAACAAGAACTTACTTCCAGATGTTTCTTTAGGTTTGAGGTGGAGTCTTTTGACTCTGAGAGCAGCTTGGTTGTACAGTCAGATTTCGCCCGTCCCTTTCTTCTTTAATTGGAGATTATCTATCGGAATTTCAGGAGCAGGACCAGGACCAGGACCACGCCGCCAAATACTCACCTTCCAGTTGTCATCTATGTAGGTTCCCCCAGTTCTGAAAGCTGTTCATTCTCGTTTACATGCCCCACCCTCCCTCTGTCCTTGTTCTCAATTCTTTAACTTCTTCATTTCTATTTCATGCATGGGGCTCTGCCAGGCCCGGGAGCCATCGGCAGTCCCCTTCGAGGCCTTCCCCAAACCGTAGCTCAATTCATGTCAAAGCGTTCACTTTTACCTACTAAAACGCTGTTAAACCTAAAATGAGGACGTGGGCCCAGCTAGTGAAGTATGAAGTGGTGTCAGAATTTTCAAGTAAGAAATGCATTCCTGTCCGTGCACTGCTGGCTCGGTTGTGCTGGCTCAAGGTCCATTGTTTAACTGATGTCACCAACATTAACATTAATTAAGATATATATATATATATATAAAAAAACAAACAACACCCAGCACGCCCCTGCGGGCGGTTTATCCTTCAAGCTCGGGTCCTCTACCAGAGGCCTGGGAGCTTGAGGGTCCTGCGCAGTATCTTAGCTGTTCCCAGGACTGCGCTCTTCTG